TTTTTATCTCTTTTGGGATACAGATCTACTAGTGGTATCACCAAGTCAAAGGGTATGCATGGTTTTATAGCCCTTTGGGCATAGTTCCAAATTGCTCTACAGAAAGGTTGAATTAGTTCACAACTCCACCAACAATGCATTCATGTCTCATTTCCCCCACATTCCCCTCCAACATTTGTCATTTTCCTTTTCCATCCTATTAGCCAATCTAATAGGTATGAAGTAGTACCTCAGAATTGTTTTAATTTGCATTTCTCCAATCAATAGTAAGTTAGAGCACTTTTTTATATGGCTATAGATGGTTTTGATTACTTAATCTGAAAACTGTTCACATCTTTTGATCATTTATCAATTGGGGAATGGCCTTTATTTTTATAAATTTGACTCAGTTCCCTATATGTGTGAGAAAAGAAGCCTTTATCAGAGAAACTTGCTTTAAGATTTTTTTCAGTTACTATTGCTATTTCCCTCCATCCTATTTCCCCATCCCCACTTATTCTATTCTCTCTCTCCCTTCACCCTATCTCTCCTCAAAAGTGTTTTGCTTCTTATCAGCCCCTCCTTCAATCTGCCCTCCATTCTATCACACCCCCCTCCTTCTTTTATCACCTTCCCCTCCTACTTTACTGCAGGGTAAGAGAGATTTCTATACCCAGTTGAGTGTGTATGTCATTCCTTCTTTGAGTCAATTCTGATGAGAGTAAGGTTCACTCACTTCCTCTTACCTCCCCCCTCTTTCCCTCCACTGTAAAAGCTATTTTATGTGAGATAATTGACTTTATTCTACCTCTCCCTTTCCCTTTCTCCCTGTACATTTTTCTCTTACCCCTTAATTTTTTTTTTAGATATCATCCCTTCATATTCAACTCATGCCTGTTCCTTCTGTCTATATATACTCTTTCTCACTGCCATAATAATGAGAAAGTTCTTATGAGTTATAAGTATCATCTTCCCATGTAAGAATGTAAACAGTTTAACCTCATTAAGTCTCTTATGATTTCCCTTTCTTGTTTACCTTTTTATGCTTCTCTTGAGTCTTGTATTTGAAAGTCAAATTTTCTTATTCAGCTCTGGTCTTTTCATCATGAATGCTTGAAAGTCCTCTACTTCATTAAATATCCATTTTTTCCCTGAAAGATTATACTCAGTTTTGCTGGGTAGGTGATTCTTGGTTGTAATTCTAGCTCTTTTGCCTTCCAGAATATCATATTCCAAGCCCTCTGATTCTTTAATGTAGAAGCTGCTAAATCTTGTGTTATCCTGACTGTGGCTCCATGATATTTGAATTGTTTCTTTCTGGCTGCTTGCAATATTTTCTCCTTGACCTGGGAGCTCTGGAATTTGGCTATTAATATTCCAGGGAATTTTCATTTTGGGATCTCTTTCAGGAGGTGATTGGTGGATTCTTTCAATTTCCACTTTGCCCTCTGGTTCTAGAATATCAGGGCAGTTTTCCTTGATAATTTCCTGAAAGATGATGTCTAGGCTTTTTTGATCATTGCCTTTAGGTAGTCCAATAATTTTAAAATTAGCTCTCCTGGATCTATTTTCCAGGTCACTTGTTTTTCCAGTGAGATATTTCACATTGTCTTCTATTTTTTCATTCTTTTGGTTTTGTTTTATTGTTTCTTGATTTCTCATAAAGTTGTTAGCTTCCATTTGCTCAATTCTAATTTTTAAGGAATTATTTTCTTCAGTGAATTTTTGTGCCTCTTTTTCCATTTGGCCAATTCTGCTTTTTAAGGCCTTCTTCTCCTCATTGGCTTTTTGGACCTCTTTTACTATTTGGCCTAGTCTGTTTTTTAAGGTGTTATTTTCTTCAGTATTTTTTTGTGTCTCCTTTAGCAAGCTGTTGACTCCTTTTTCATGATTTTCTTGCATCACTCTCATTTCTCTTCCCAATCTTTCCTCTACTTCTCTTCCTTGATTTTCAAAATCCTTTTTGAGCTCTTCCATGGCCTGAGACCAATTCATGTTTTTCTTGGAGGCTTTAGATGTAGGAGCTTCGACTTTGTTATCTTCTTCTGAGTGTGTGTTTTAATCTTCCTTGTCACCATAGTAACTTTCTATGTTCAGAATTTTTTTTTCTGTTGTTTGCTCATTTCCCCAGCCTATTTCTTGACTTTTAACTCTTTGTTAAGTAGGGCTCTCCTTCCAGGGTGGTGGGTTGCACTGTCCCAAGCTTCTGGGGTTTTGTGCAGCTGTTTTCAGAGATGCTTCTAGGGACCTGTAAGTTTTCAGTTCTTCCAAGGCGGTACAACCAAAGGAGAGGTGTTTACGCCTCTCCTGGCCTGAGCTCTGGTCTGTGAGTGACCCCAAGCACTCTTTTCTGCCCTGAACTGTGAGGAGGGTCCCCCATTTCACTGTGGCTTCAAGCTCTGCTACGCCAGTGCCAGATCCCAGTACGGACAAAACAACGGAATCCTGCCTCGGTGCCAGCAAAGAGAGCCCTGTAATCTCCTTCTCATCAGTTGTTCGATCCCCTAACCACCTGTGGGCAGAGAGCTCCAGAAGCGGCTGCCACCGCTGCTACTGCTGATTCAGTGACTCCAGACACCCGCTCCTGGTTTGCTGGGGTCGGGGCTGTGCTGGGGTCTGCGCGGGAATGAGCTCCACTCTCACCCTGGTGCAACAGACCTTTCCTGCCAACCTTCTGAGTTGTCTTTGGCTGGAGAATTGTTTTACCCCATCTTTTTGTGGATTCTGCTGTTTATGGCATTAATTAAAGGTGTTTGGAGGGGCTTTGGGGAGAGCTCAGGGCAGTCGCTGCCTTTTCTCCACCATCTTGGCTCCAACCTGGGACTTAGACTTTAGGGAAATCATTTTGGCACCAGTGTAAAGTGGTGGAATCAAGCCTTTATAGAACCAGCCTGCCAATCACATATTGACTTGCTATTGTTCTTTGGTCACGTCCAACTCTTCATGAGCCCATTTGGAGTTTTCTTGGCAAAGATACTGGAGTGGTTTGCCATTTCCTTCTCCAGCTCATTTTACAGATGAGGAAATTGAGGCAAATAGGGTTAAAGGACTCGCCTAAGATCACACAGATGATAAGTGTCTGAGGCTGAATTTGAACTCAGGTCTTCCTGACCCTAGACCTGACACTCTCTTCACTACACCACCTAGCTGCCCACATATTGACTTAGAAAACCACATATTGACATTTTCCATATTTTATAGTATTTTAATTTATTTTGTTAAATATTTACCAATTACATTTTAATCTAGATTGAGCTGCACTTGGGAGTACTGTGGGCCCAATGCCAGCTGAGGCCTCTGGTGAAGAGGACAGATTGGAGTGGGCAAAGACACCAATGAAAGCCCCTGGGCAGAAACCATCCAACCTCTGATGGGGTCAAAACCCTGTCTCAAGCTGCCAAGAGAGGGCAGGCCGCCTGAACCCAGAGGAGCGCATATGGGGTCCTGACCACTGCAGACTGGGCTCTCCCATAGTCAAAACCCAAGTCCAGGAGAGAAGGATGGAACGGAAAGACAAAAAGAGGTGATGCCAAGGTACAGCCTGAGGGAATTAAGGCATCTCTGTGGACTGAGAGCTGGAAGGGACTTGGAGGTCATTAGTCAATCCTTATTTTACAAAGGAGGAAACTAAGGGCCTAAGTGCCAAAGTGAGTTGAATTCACTTTTTCGGGCTTATTAAGCACTGTGCTCCAGGCTGGAAGAGGAAGGAAGGAAGGACAGAAGGAAGGAAGGGAGGCAGGGAGGAGGGAAAGAAAGAAAGGGAGAGGGAACTAGATATAGAAAAGAAGGAAGGAAGAAAAGAAGGAAGGAAAGGAGGAACAGAAGGAAGAAGAGAGAAAGGAAAGGAAAGGAGAGAGAAAAAGGGAGGTAGGGAGAGAGAGAGAGAGAAAGGAAGGAAGGAAAGAAGG